GCTCCGCTCACTTCCGTGCACTTCGCCGCATCCAGTTCGCCGGCCAGCACGTCGACTTCAGCCCGCTCACTCCGACTACGCTCTTCAGTGCCCAAGTTCCAGTGCCAGTTCCAGTTCGAGTTCGACTTCAGTTCGCAGTTCCAGTACTACTCCGGCAGTTCGACTTCAACGTAATTCCGGTTAGGTCCCGGTATTCCCAATTCAATTCGTATACCCCATTTCTAAGTTCGTGAATTCGTTTCATTTCTTTGTATTTCAAGTTCGGCATCCACCATTTCATTTCCTTTATTTCAATTCACTTCTCATTTCAGTTCAATTCTCACTCCAAATTCTGTACTTCGCTGCTGCCATTCCCCATTCCGTGCGCAGAGAGTACCAGTCCACCGATGTCCGTCGTCGCGGTTCTCTTCACGTCGACCGCCAAGCGCTCTCCTACAGCTCTACGACGCACCGGTCCAGTTCAGTTCGCTCTTCGCAGCACCAGTTCAAGTTCAACAATTCTATTTCGTCCCTACGGTCCTAGCTCAGTGAGGGAGGTGTTGTACATGTGACCTATTCCATGTACTTCTTATTCCACTACTTCCACTTCCATTCCACTCCACACTTCATCCATTTCCCTGCGTCACTTCGCCAACACATTCGTGCTGTTGTCATTGCCTACTTAAGGCCCACGCTTCCCTTCCACTGGGTGCAGTCCAGTGGGTCAGTGCAGTCCTTCCACTCCAGTCCTTATTCCGTGCATATTTCCGCACCATTACTACTACTACTACTTGTCCATAATTCTCGGACATTACCGACTTCGGTTGGTATTACTACATGTTGTGTTAGCTTAGTAAACTCTTCTTACTACACCTTTCCCCGAAACATAAGCTAGCTAATACACAACAGCTCCCAAACATCCGGAGGGACGTTTTTATGTCATCAGAGTTCACGTAGGCGTCAGTGTAGCATAACTAAGTGAAAACAAAGTTTTTCGATTTTTGGCCGAATCACAGGGTCGCCCCTATAGTCGTGAAAAAATCGAAAAAAAATTTTACGCAAAAACGACGTATTCGGCAGTGAACGTAGCTTAGCAAACCACAGGGCCATTACGCCCTAGAAATCCACCTGGCGCTTTTTCTTTTAATAACCCATCCGGCCATCGTTGCGTTGTTGAGCACATGAACAAATATTACATTCAAATACTTTAAAATATAATTGTATAACAAAAGACTGCCCAAGGCAGGTAAAAAATCGCATTTCATTTTTCGTATGTAAGTGATTGACTTAATCGACGAAAGCCTGACGATTTCCGCTTTCTGGTGGGAATTCCTTTTTGAGCACTTTTCTTGTGGGTCACTTTAAAGGTCGGCACGCGTACCGTTTGCGGCCCGCACCGTACCGTACTGCCGAACTGCCGGTACGGCAGCACGGTACGCGTGACTCAGTACTGTACTGTAGTATGGTACGGCTTTGATTTCCTTGTATCTTATAACGAGTACTGGCCCTACTGGGGCCGTACAGTACCGCATTACGGCCCCTACAGTACCGTACCACTCTATTGTCTGTGCGGCAGTACGGTACGGGGTGGTCAGTACGGTACGGCAGTACGGTACTGGTGAGGTTTGCCTTTAGTCACTTTATTGTGATGTCTCTAATCACATGGGAACGAAGGTTTGCAAACAGTCGATTATTATTAACTCGTGACATTTTCTCTTTCGCTCCTTTCAATCTTTGAAGCGTATCTCCCCTGGCAGAAATGTTTTTTACTGGTCTCCCCTGCTGGCTTATAAGAACAGAAAGTCCTGCCCACTTGCCTCACTAGGCAAATCAAGACAGGCGCTGCAGGATGCTCAAAACTGCAAAGTTCAGCAAATTACCAAAGCAGGATTCCATGTTTATACCAACCATAGCACTGCTAGCCGCAATGTCATGGTGTGACTCGAAGGGTCATGTGATTCGGGTTCATTTTCTGGAAGAAAAACCTTTATTTTGCACACTGCCCTGGTTTCTGCAAGTTTGGACGATACCCAAAAGAATGGAATTTTTGAAACTCATTATGCTAGCATCTCTCATTCTTCGATTTCACTGAAGCGCGACCAGCGCTTAGCCATCCCGAAAAGCGCAAGAATATTAACAGCACCACGACCGAACCGTGCTGATTTCTTGTCGAGGACAAATTTCCACAGCTCAGCTTTGAGTGCGCAGAACATCCAACAGAGGGTTTACCAGAGGGCGCATTAATAACGTTCTAAACCGCAAAGCGCGCTTAAAAAGCGCGCGCTCTGCGTTTCCGACGTTGCGAACTGTTACACTACATCCTAAAAATTTGTAGCTAAGGTAAGCAAGACAGCAATGCCTGCGCTTATAAGCTTAACTTGCAAATGTGTCGTAAGCAGTGGTTGATAATAGCGTTTAAGTAACTAAGACAACGAGGCTTTGCTTTTCCACCAACACTTGGGCTACGTTTACCAGTGCGCTATGCTCGTTCCATGGTCGCATGCGTCGGCCATGCTGCTTCCCGGGGAAATAGCGTTGCTCGCGCAATGAGGGATGAGGAAAGACATAGCGATACATGAATTAATACTGCACGATCATATAGGACCGCGGACCGCAAGCTTTACTCTTTGACCTTCTTCGTCGGTTACGCCCGTATACGAGATCATCCGTCACAGTTGCGGCCTAAACGCGTGCGCTTGCGAACCCCCGCCACGTCCGTCCAGGGGGATTATTAAGCCCATTACTATGCAATACCGCCACAAATGACTAGAGGAACAGTACAGAGACTTGGCTGGTCTCATGGTCTCGACACATGTCTCTATGGATTAGGGATCCGAGAACAACATAGATGCGTTTTAACCAAATCAACGTGCAAGATGCAGGCACTTAGAAATGCAATTCAAAGAGTTCATAACAAAAACCTGTAGATGTGAGCGTCTGCAAACACTTGTTATGGTCGTCAATTCGTGGTGACACATGCCATAGTATGCTTATATGGAATAACCTAAAAGATGGTGAGCTTTCTTACGCCGTGATCTAACTGATAAATTTGGGAAAATGTTGGGTGCTTCGTCGGCTTTTGTTTTTAAGTCGTCAGAAAAGTTATATTGTGGCCTAGGCTATGCGCTACTGGAGGGTCAGAGAAGGCTAATAAAGCTTTATGGCTCAGGATAGCCGCCGGTCGGTCGGACCGCAATCGACGGTTCCTCTCTCGACTGGCGCTCCAGCACTCTTGGACAACGCAGTGCAGGGGCCTTGATTTACGGCCCCGGCCCCGTTTACGGCCCCGGGCCCGGCCTCCAGACCACGGCCCCGGCCTCCCCATGTGCAAAAGTTCCCGTTTTTTCCCACTAAAGATCGCAACTATGGCAAAGCCTACGGTTTTACTCTGGTGTATTTTCAATGTTTGCATGTTATTTACATGTTCTGACCCTGTCTACGCAAAAAAGTCCACCGAAATTGACCCTTTATATGCCTAAAATCAGCCAAATCCGAGCAAAACGGCAACTACGGGGGCCTGAGGCCGGCCCCGGCCCCGGCCCCCCACTGCCTCCGACACACGGCGGCCCCTGCCCCCGGCCCCAGGGGGCCGGGGACGCCCCCCCCCCCCCCCGGCCCCCGCACAAGGTTGCTCTTGGACCGGACCGACCAGCAATCCGGGTGTGTATTGTCGTTTGTTCGCGCGCGGTGCTGTATCGTGCTTGTATGGGACGCAGATCCCAAACGTTTAAAATATGTAAGAGCCCTTGGCCCCTTCAGCTATTCACATTGCGGCACAAGCAGACAAGAATTCCTCTGCGACTAAAGTGTCGGACGCGGTACCGCTGAGTTTTGCAGGGAGGCGTTTGGCAGACAATGTCGTTGTCGAGTCAGCACAGAGAGGTGAGTCCGGAACACAGATTCCAGCCATACAGAAATATTCTCACCAAGGAGCCTCGGACTCCGCCGCATACGAAGCTTGGGTCGAGGGACGCGTACCTGGAAGGTATTCTCAGTTCACTGACGATCTCCTCTGGGGCTGCGAGACGATCTCCTCCAAGAAGCGACTACAAACATCGTCGTCGCGGGTGCAGCTGGACAACAGAATGAAGGACGACGAGAACGGACCGTCCGGACTGGCAGAACGATCGTCAAACGGAGCAAGCCTGGCATGGGATTGGTAACGTGGCCTATAACGCAGGGTCCCGCTAACCAACACGTGGACGATCACCACTGAGGTCGGGGAATGCCCCGTAAAGCGGTCTGCTGATGGTCCCCATGACTGTGCCGGGTAAGCTCAAACTGCGCAAGGCCGTACGCGAACCCGGAATCGCCTGCGGATGCCGTTCAACCCAAGTCAAGCGCAACAAAAATCCGGAAAACTTCGACGCACCGGGTACCCGGCATGACGGTCGTCGTCGCATCATCTTGCTGGCTCTGCGCCCGGCCTAGCAAGCCTCGTGGAGTATCAACCCGCTACAAACGCCGATAACGAGAGCTTGGAAGCTACTGCGGCGAGTGGACGAGCAGCACTACGACCCGTGGGAGTGGAAAAGCTTGACGACAAAATGAAGGACCAACGGTGCTGCTCAAACAAACTCCGCTTCGCTACGTTCAACTGCGGACAGAGCGGAGTCGGAGGCACCGACAACCTGAACCCCAACGGACATCGGACCTGCGAACTCATGGAAGCCCTGGAGAGGATCAAGTTCGACATCGTCTGCCTCAGCGAAACGCACGCGAAAGAAGAGCGTTACTCGAAGTGGGAACACGGAGAGCTCAAAGACAGCGAACTACACATAGGAGCAGCGGACGGCCTCGTAGGCGGCATCGGCTTTATCGTGAACGCGAAGCTTTCTTCGCGAATCCACTCCCCGTCAGCTCATCACGTGTCGGAGTGCTGAATGAAGCTCGGAAGACGGCATCTACTGACGGTCATCCAGTGCTATGCCCCACATAGCGGCTACGAAGACCAAGAAGTCGAGTCCTTCTACGCAGAAGTTGAACAACACCTGACAGCCAAGCGAGGACCGGTAGTCGTCATGGGAGACTTCAACGCAAGAATCGGCCAGAACGAACCAGACGAGCTATACGTAGGACGGCACAGTGCAGAACAACGAAATGACGCAGGCATCCGCCTAGCCGCGTTCGCAGAGGCCCAGAAGCTGTACGTCGCAAACACGCTGTTCGAAAAGCCCTGCCAGAAGCGATGGACATGGCAGTCGTCTGACCTGAAGACAAAAAGCGAGCTCGACTACGTCTTATACGGCGACCGGAAAAGCATCCATAACTTGGAAGTGCTTACCCAGTTCAACGCCCGAAGCGACTACCGACTAGTCCGAGCGACAATACTCGTAGACATGAAGAAGACTAGAAGAGAAACGCTTCTCAGGAGGCCATGCCGTCCGACGGAATTAGATGTGGCCAAGTTCCAGAAGCTCGTCGCAGAGGCAGACTGGAGCGGACAAGGCAGAGGTAGAATGATGGAGCAGTACGAGCGGCTCCAAGCGACCCTGACGCAGTGCGCTAAGGATGCTGGTATTAGGAAGGAGAGTACACGTCACGCGTGGAAAACTCCTGAGACAGAAGACCTCCTGAAGCAACTACGGCAGGCAAAGTCCCGAGGAGACTCTGAGGAAGCGAAGCGCTTATCGAAGCTCTGCCGAACAAAAGTCGCCGAGGACTACGAGAGCTACCGAAACAGCCGCCTGGTCAAAACGGCCGAAAAGCGCAAGAGTCTAAAGAAGTGCAGACGAGACATGACGCAGTCCCAGCTGATCACAGGTGCCCTCGTAGACGAAAACGGCAATCTCCAGACCGAGCGAGACGTCGTCGAAGAAATCTGCAGGAGCTTCTACACGAAGCTCTTCGAGAGCAAAGTCGAAGTGCCGAGGCAGCGGAGAGCCGACACAAATCCAGCCGCAGAAGTGCCACCAGTGACCGCCGACGAGGTAGAATCAGCGCTCCGTACGATGAAAGCGGGCAAAGCTCCGGGACCGGACGGCGTGAAAGCAGAAATGCTTAAGGCAGGCGGACCTACGCTGTGGAAACACCTCGCGCGGTTCTTCACCCAGTGCCTTCGGAAGAAGAAGATCCCACCTCAGTGGAAGGAGTCTACGACAGTGCTCCTGTATAAGAAGGGCGATGCGAAAAACCTGAAGAACTACAGGCCGATCTGCCTCCTCTCGGTCATGTACAAACTCTTCACGAAGGTGCTGACGCGAAGAATAACGGATGACCTGGACCGAGAGCAACCGGTAGAGCAGGCAGGCTTTCGACAAGGCTACTGCACCCTTGACCACCTTCAAACGGTGAACCAGCTTCAAGAAAAGGCGCGAGAGAAAGGTCTACGGCAATACCTGGTCTTTGTCGACTACGAGAAGGCGTTCGATACAGTGGAGACAAACGCGGTGTTGAACGCGCTGGATGCCCAAGGAGTCCATCGACAATACGTCGACCTTCTCGAGGACATCTACGAAGACTGCGACACCCAGATAACGCTCTTCGACAAGCCGATAAATATCCCGATCCGCCGTGGAGTACGCCAAGGCGACACGATCAGTCCGAAGCTATTCACGGCGGCGCTGGAGATGGTCTTCCGGGAACTAAGATGGGACGAGAGGAGAAATGCCGGAATAAACATCGACGGTAAGCGCCTGACCCACCTACGCTTCGCGGACGACATCGTGCTTGTCGGCAATTCCCGAGCAGATGTGCAGCAACGGCTGGAAGAGCTGAACGAGAAGAGCAAGGCTGTCGGCCTTCGGATAAACAAGGACAAGACAGAATGGTTCGAGTACTTCAAAACGAGCGAACGGATCTACCTCGAAGGTGAAGAAATCCGGAGGACGAACAAGTACGTCTACCTCGGCCAGCAGCTCACTGAAGACCACAGCGCCAACATGGAAGGTGAAATCGGGCGCAGGAGAAAGGCCGCCTGGCTCAGCTTCAACAACATACAGGAAGTGCTCAAGAGGATCAGCGACGCAAAGCTACGCGCAAACCTCTTCAACACGACAGTCCTACCTGCCCTACTCTACGGCTTTGAGACGTGGACGCTGACGAAACGGCAGGAAGACAAGCTCTCCACCACAGAACGTGCCATGGAACGCCGAGTGCTAGGCATTACAATGTGGGACCAAGAACGGAACGAGGCAGTGCGCGAAAAGACAGGCTTCACCGACGCCGTCACAGAGGCACGTAAACGAAAACTAAGATGGGCGGGACACGTCGCAAGAAGGGACGATGGTCGATGGACAAAGGCGGCAACTATCTGGAAGCCGAAAAAGAAGGCCCCAAGGAACTGGGGAATGCCGCTACGCTGGGTGAAATCCGTCTGCGAATCAATCGGGACAGACTGGATGGACGCAGCACAAGACTGAGAAGACTACCGAACTCGTATTTGGCGTGCGACGAGGACGTCGCCCCTGCGTCGTGCAAACGACTGACAACAGGGATCCAAAGTATCCAAAGTAAATATCAGTTCACTGCTAGCCAGCGCAGTGGGCACGCAGTGGCCAAGCTTATAAACAGTTCGTGGTCGTCATCCTTGCCTCAGAACAAGTAGGTAAGATCGATACGCAGATACCAAACGCATACACACATGCTGCCACTGCATTTCACGCTATTGCAGCATCTCTTCTGACGTTGTCAGTCGTTGCTCTAATTCGGGGAATCGTTGATCGGTCCCTGGGCTCGTTTAATAGGCGGATAGATCCATCTGACCTGGAGGCAGGCCCCATCAACGCACCCTCCTTTAAAATATTTTTTTATCGGCAACATAACATACACATGGACTGCTAACACACCAAGCAGTTACCTGCGCGGTATACGCGTTTGTGAAACGCGTTGTGGATCGATAGGCGATCGAAAAAGGGGCTCACTTAGGTGTACCCACCTGCGTAAGTGCGTGCTCGCATTACAAATGAGAGGTTTGAAACTGGCGTCGGAAACGTGTTTTTTGTCTGTTGTTTAGGTTAGATTAACCTACGGACGTTTTGTTTCATTTAGTCATTTAGTCGCTCTTGCATTTTATCAAAACCAATTTAGGACAAACGAGGAAAACGTATGTCAACCCCATCTGTTTGTAACGAAATCCAGGGTTATCTTAGGAGTTCTGCTTTAATGAGCTAGCAACACACCAAATAGCAAAAAGATGCTGTAAAATTCAGACGCAGCGTTGCTTTTGGGCAAAGAAACTAAAAGGGAACACATTCAGACTCAGAATTTACGCGGCCGGACTGCTAATAGTAGCAACCTTCATGTAGCATAAAGTAATCGTCCTTGCACTACTGGCATTACGGACGGCAAATCACTGGCCAAGATTTCAAAAACCTGCTTTGGACTCGCCTGGCTTGGCTTGACGCTGAATGAATTCCACGTGTGCCATCATTTGGCCGTTTTCCAAGATAAACATATCTACTAAAGAGTACAGACAAACACGGCCGGGCTAGACAGTCTCCGACTAAAAAATTAGCGTTATTGTTAACGCACAGCTACTGCACCTGCGAACATCGGTCTCGGAACTGCTGTGCGTCAACAGTACCAGCGTAACTCGCACAAGAAGGCTTTGGTATGCCGGCGAGCATTTAATTTTTTCCCAGTGCTCAACGGGCTTGAAGCAGGACTTAAAAAAGAACACCTTAAAGTACTAAAGAGGGAGCTGGCAATGAAGCTGAAGTTCAGCGCCCACACAACGTGTTTGCACAACGAAAATCGTTCCGCTTCCGAGGAAAATGCGTTCGCACACTGCCTCTGTTTATCAGTACACTACACTATCTATACCTATTTGCTACGTGGTTGTGCGTTTCGGGAACTCGCGTCGCGGCGTGACCATGTCGCTTCCGGGAAACAATTTTACTTGCGCAACGAGGTGTTTCACTCGGCGATTTGTGCGCTGCACGGTGCGATGCGTCTGGACCGAAGGCGACAAGCGCCACCAAATAGCCGCGTTTGGCCGTATAACGATTCTGCCTGAATCCGAGGCCATCACTGCAATTGCGAATCAACGCAAACACACGCAAAAAGTCCAGCGCAGAAAGAGACGGCAGCCCGGACGGTCAAAGCTTAAGTATTTTCGGGCAACCAGACGGGCCCGGATGCGCGTGTAAATAAAGGACGGCCCACGTTTGCTTCGCCTTTCTGTCCGCAATGCTTTCTGGTTCAAAACGTGAACTTTCTTTGAGACACCTGATAGGAGTACTAAACTTATATTTACATATGGCCGTACATTTTTAATAAGCTCCAGGGTCCGCCTGCTCAGGAACGCCTGGATATAAAGCAGCGCGTTGTGAAGTTAAAGTTGATCAGCATGCACATGTTGAAAAGCGATAAGTAAACACTTAAGGAACAGCCGGCAAGTGCTTTCTGGGAAACACTTTTTTTGTTACGGCGCAGCTCTAATGCAAGGAGATATAGCTTGCAGCGGTTCCTTAGCAGTCCGCTAGGTTTTAATTCATTACAGGAGCGATAACCAGGCCTTTGAAAACATTAAGATCCAAACGATATATCAAAATCAAAGTTACAAGAAGGCTTTGCTATGCCGGCGAGCATTTAATCCCCCAAACCGGGGGAACACACAGGTTAAGTACGCTCAAGGCAAGCTTGCAGATAAGACCAGCAGGACATTGACCGAAGAAACCTCGGAAAAAGCACTCGGCGCACAATATTCACCGAAGGCCAACGACTGCTTCCGAGACTAGCGCGAGCCTGAACGTCATATGTCTCTTGCACTGTCCTACTGCGCACCTTCGGGTTGCCTCGGGCTCGAATCCATCAAGATATTTCGCACAAATATATGGTTACGCAAGGTTATACGCATACATTAAAGAAAGCCTGGAGATAGCACCGTTCTCCCCTTCGCTGGCCAAGCGCAAGATACGACACGACATCGTGAGTTGACGTACCAGAGGAGTGTTTGTCAACTAGTGAAAGCGTGCGATACGCTGATCCCTTGTAACCAAAGCGGTGGTGTTTGTCCGTCCACAAAAGCTTTTTGGTACCATTCGATAGGGCTTCTAAGGTTATGAGAACTGGAAAGTTTCAGCCGGATCGTTTCGCTAGAAAAAAAGTTATGGCCGTCCAAAGTTTCAACCCCTGTCTCATGCTTGCGATAGCGAGCGCTATCGCATTGAAGCAGAAAAATCAAGGTCATGCCGGAACTTCACGTCGTACCTCAAATAAAAAAGCTCTTGGTGAGCTCGTTAAGAGCCACACTTCTTTTGAACCAGAACCGTTCCCTGAGATTCCTTTGCCCCCGTAAAAGGGGTCAACCTCCCTGCAAAATATCGACTTGTGGCGATTTTTTAAGGCGGTATACGAAGTTTCGAATACTGGATGTATGCGGTAGCGCTAAAATTCGTAAGTTCTCTGCCCGCCCGGTACAAGTAATCCCCAATAGCGGCGCCGGTTGCGCGAAGCGCAGCCCAGCCGCTAGTTCCAACACAAGGAGTATAGACAACCACTCCAACAAATAATAAGACCTAAGACATCCATATGATTTATCGTTTGGGCAACTGAGTTGGACGTTGTCAGAAGCTTTACACACGCACCCTATTTCAAATCTTGTTTTGAATCAGAATCTCATCAGGAATAGCTAATATTGCTTAGACCGTAGACGACGGGCATGTGCCGACTCTTGTCCAATCTAGCAAAGTAATAAAAATGAACCATTGAAGAATCTGTCGTCACCGACAACGCCTTGCTTTCCACTCAGGACAAAAGCCTACGCAAAAAAACTGTAACAAAACAATAAAGGGCTCACTGATTTATAGGTAAGTGCCCTTAGCCGTCACCTCACGTCCGTACCACTGTTTCTCAAAGCACAATACACTGAGCAAGGGACACAGCGTAAACGACGGCAGGAATGTATAGCGACTAATCAAGGTTAAGAAATCCAAAATGATATTGCACAAGACTAGACAAAAGGCAAACAAATAACTTCAAAAAAACCTGAAGTATCCACTTGGCATTGCTCGGATTTCACTAAGATCGCGCCGAAATGCGTGAGCTTGCATTTCGCGAGTTGATGAGCACGCTGAACGTACAGCTATCAAAACGGGCAAATCTCAATGAGCTGCGTGAAAGCTCGTCTGCTCGCTGCTTTGGTACAGATCACGTAAGTTCCAAAGGTTTGTTATATTGCCTTCTAGTCTGTGGTTACCGAATCGGATGCGCAGGTAAGTTAGGCCTTGGAGCCTATAGCAAAACAAATCTCAAACACAATTCCGGCGACTTTTGGTAGATGTGGCAAGGATAACGAGCCAAACAAAGCGTGGGTCATAGTGACAATTGAACAACTCCAATTTGTTGTGCTTTTGGACCTGTAGCCTGGGCGCCTTCTCCAACCTGACCGTAACCTATTTCAGCATTAAGTTTTTGTAATTGAGGACTCACCAGTTGAGCCTTAGTCTGAACAAACCGATCATCATCAAGCCTTGCCGTCCAAGTAGCTCTCTGGCTCACTTATTTCTAGCCGTCTTTATGAGTTTGCGGAGGCGTAGTCGGCTGTCTCCTGGTCTTCTCGTTTTTTTTATCATTGAGCTTGTCATTAAAGAGACCGCTAAACAGTTTCTGCTAGTGCATCGCATCGACATTTTACATTAACACGTAAAACCATTAATTCCTTTTGCAGACAAAACAGTCTCATCATCGAAGAGGCATCTTTTACCTTTAAGGAACCAAGGCTTTATAAAGCACGGACTGACGACTAACACCAGCAGCTCATTCGAAGCCGAGCTCTCTGTTAGTCCTGCCTATGTTCAATGAGATGGGCAACTGTTCCACATTAAAGCATCATGCACCAATGTCGGTGGTTTGTCTTTCGCTTGCTTTACACGCTCCCGCTAGCTTACAGTCTTCAATGTACCGGTATTAATCAACATTAAAAGAAATGGTAAAAAAACCTGAACTGACACGATCCTGCATGCCATGTGCTTTTGTTGCTTCAGTTGTCGATGTTCAAAGACGCGTAGTTTGCTTCTAGCTTGTTCGTTTGGGGCAATGCTGTATGCATTGGTAGCTCATTGGCAACGGAAACAGGGGATTGACTCAAAGCAAGTAAAGCGCTTACTGAGGGAATAAGTTAATGAGGTAGGACGGGCAATATCAGACTACACATAGCGCATGTTCCTTCTCCCTATGGTTTTGGCCAAAAATCGAGTCTTGACGGTCGGAATATTTTTGTGGTTCACGATTTCTTATGCACTAAGAAGACGTTCTGAGGGCGTTAATCGTGTCTCTGATGGTTCTAATTGTTAAGAGGCGAATATATGCCCCCCCCCCATAAAGTCTTTCTCCGACTAGGGGGGGGGGAACAAGGAGAGGGCAAGACCAGTTACTGATTTGAGGGTCTAGGGGTCACAGGGTCAGTTAGCGCTTGTTT